TCATATGTAGGCAGAAGAGTAATCTGTGATAAAAATATGTGACAGTAAATCTAAAAGAGCTCTTTCAACAAGAATAAAACAGAAATTCTAAGCGATTAAAACCATTACATCATAATTTAATTGGCAGCATTTCTAAATTTTGTCCTCAGCAGTACATAAGTTTAATGCTGCATCTTAAAATCACGGATGTCATAAATTCAATGAAATGAAGTAATTAGCTAGATACTGAGGCATAAATCCTAAACCAATAGATCAAGTGCAGGCTATCCCACTCTATCATCACTAACCGTTAGCAGGTGTATGCTTCCATAGGGGCTTGTGGCCACTAGTAAGTAACATTGTTCTTTGCCCAACTTAAGCTTTATTCATTTTATTCTCCTTCAAAAGACAATTATTATCACCTTCCTTACAAAATTGTAAACTCCATGAATACCATTTTTTTGATATTGATGTTCATTTCTTTATCCTCAGAACTAGAAGAGTGTCTAGCACACTCTAAAGGCTCAATAAATATTTGAAGGGTGAATGAACAAATTAATAAATGAACCAGTGAATCTTCAGCAGGAAACACGTATGAAACACTCATTTTTATTAGTTCTGTGATTGATACCAATTTCTGCCCTGGACTATATTTCTGAAAATATAGCATTTTTCTTAAACATACAGTGAGCTCCTACTCTATCCCAGCTCATGAGAAGGATATCTCTTTGTACATTTTTTTCATTGCATTTTGCACAACTGCCTTGTGGGTTTATATGATCTTATCCCTATTTTAATGATGTGGAAACTGAACCTGAATATGGAAGAGTGTAAAAAGCTTGTAGAACCTAAAGCTCAGTGTCATAATTAGTAATTGTATGGACAGCAGGCAAAATACACAGAACGTTGTTTTAAAAGTGAAAAGCCTTTCTGGTCAACTTGTTTTCACCGCAGTTGAAAATAATCAAGATGATCCTATCCATGTCCTGTCCCAGTGAGTTTGGAATTTATAGCATGTTAAAGCAAATTAAGTCATAATCAAATAGAAGAGAATAAGTCATGTCCTCTAATAATGCCTGCTACTGTGTTACAGGAGCCCTGGTGGCTCAGTGGTTAAGAGCTTGGCTGCTAATCAAAAGATCGGCAGTTGAAATCCAACAGCTGCTCCTTGGAAGCCCTATGGGGAGATTCTACTGTGTCCTATAGGGTTGCTATGAGTTGGAGTCGGCTTGATGGCAATGGGGTTTTTTGTGTTACTGTGTTACAAGAAAGACACCAAGAGAAGCTACTTTTACTTTTTCACTTACTAAGGCATCATTTATGTATTGAAGCATTATGTGGTAGAAAAGCATTGGGCTCCAGATTCAAGTAGACCTGGGCTTTAATTTTTGTTCAGTTACTTCCTAGCAACGTGGCAATGGGCAAGTCATTTAGACTAGCTAAGTCTCAATTGACTCATCTAAAATATGAAGTTATATTACATGTCTTGATATATATTGTAAAATATTTATCACAGTACATGGCTTAACAAATACCAGTTTCTAGTTTTCCTCATATTTCATGCAATTCCTAATTCTTTTATTCATGAAATAACTGAGAACTAGAAATGTTTGGTGACTTATCCAGGACTGTATAATGTTTAGACATAGAGTCAGAACATTAAAACACAGCCTCCTGATTCCAAAGCTATATCCATTACATTTATTATTCACTGCAAAAGGCTAAGAAATGAATGGTTGATTAAAACTAACCTAACTTTTGCACTGAATGCAATGTACTGAATTCCTTTATAATGTCGATTAACTAGACACCATAGTGGTACACAGAACAATTTTCATTCCTGTTTGAACAATAAACCATCTCAGAATATTTTCTTTTATTTTTTTATTTTATTTTATTCTTTTTTATTGTACTTCAGGTGAAGGCTTACAGAACAAATAGTTCCTCATGAAACAGTAGTACAC